GGAGGAGCGGGCGGAGCTGCGGCGCCTGGAGCTGCGGGACGCGCTGGGATTGTTCGCGGCGCGCAGCGAGGCCGATGCCTGCGCGCTCTGGGTGGGCGAGAGGGAGCAGTGGCTGCTCTCCATGGAAATTCCCGAGCGCATCGAGGACCTGGAGGTGGTGCAGCAGCGGTGAGCGCCCCGCGCTGAGCCGTGGAAATCCCAGAATTATTCCCCGGGAAATCCTGGATTCGCCCCCGCCGGGATTCCCCCAGGAATTTTCCCAAGAATACACGAGATCGCCCCGTTATTCCCGTTTTTCCTCAGGATCTCTCCAGTATTCCCAGTGTTCCCTGAGTTCCTACCTCCACCACAACATTCCCAGTGTTCCGGGTGTTCCCGTTTTCCCAGAATTTTCACTCCCAACACAGCATTCCCTGTACTCTCTGAATTCTCACCTTGACGTGAGATATTCCCAGCCCTCCCAAAATTCCCACCTCCAACACCCTATCCCCAGCACTCCCAAAATTCCCACCCCCAGCGCGGTATTCCCGGGATTTGCGGTATTCCCGGGATTTGCGGTATTCCCAGGGTTTCCAGCACGGCGTTGCTGGGGTTTCCGCTGTTCCCTGAATTCCCAGCCCCAGCTCGGTATTCCCGGTATTCCCGGTCATTCCCGGCGCTCCCGCAGGTTCGAGACGCTGGAGCCGGAGCTGGCGGCGCTGGCGGCGCGCGTGGCCTCCGTGGGCCGCGTCACGCAGGAGCTCCAGGGATCCGGGGACAGGAACCGGGAGAGCGCCCGGGAAACCTGGGAGCAGCTCCGGGACAGGTGGGGGCGGGCCCGGTGGGTTCATTCCGGCCAGGAATCGCGGGTGGATCCGGGCGGGGATGGATTCTCCGGGCGCTCGGGATGCTCCGGGCGGAGGGAAGTGTTCCGGGCGGGGATGGATTCTCCGGGCGCTCGGGGATGCTCCAGGGATGCAGGGAGGGGTTTTCCAGGCCGGGATACTCTGGGAAGGGATGGATTCTCCAGCCTGGGACGCTCCAGGGATGGATTTTTCAG